GTCTCCTCATGGTGATCCAGAGAGCTATAGCTGTATGCTAATCGCTCGCCTTATGATGGCTGCCTGTCCCGCTCTACCTGGTCAGATGGATGCGGAATAAGGGAGTATTGCAGTTAGCTCGTTCCATGCCTCGTGGAAAGCATATTGTGGAGATTTAATTTGAGTAGCCGTGTGCCAGCAGAAGGGTGGACCGCTCCTCCCCTTGGCTCCACTCCCTGTCTGTCTCTCTCTTTCTCTAGCCTTCTCGCTCCAGACCCCCACTGCTATGTCGCTAATTATTCCTGCAGCTCCACTTGCCACCTCAAAATGGCCCATCCAACGGCCACTCCGCTGGCAACTAGCATCCTACAGCTTCAGAATGATAAAGAGCCAGAGAAACACTTCCCTTCCTCTCTTTCCCTCCCACATTCTGAGTTTGAATATACAGTCAGCTGCAGTGCACATGGAAAGAGAAACAAGAAATAAAGGGAGATAGTGCACTGCAGCTATTTTAATCGCACTCCAGTATTTCTACAGATGTTTCCAGCTTTGAACCAGGCTCTGGTTTACATGGGTCAGATTGTCTTACGCTTTATAAGCAGTTTGATATGAGAAAATTGCTGTGGCTTTGCCCAGACTGAATATTTATGAGCTAAAGCTTGTAGAAATGCACAGCTATGCTGCAGTTGTACTTGGATGAAGCTCTGATTACATCATTCCCAAATATGGGTCAGTGAAGATGGCGAGAAAAAGAAACCGCAAACTGATTTGAGATGTTTCATGTTAGTACATTCTTCAGAGGTAGGCCATCGTCTTTTTGCTTGTCACTTGTAAAAAATTCAGGATTGCCTTTGCAAGTCTATTATTTATGTTTGTGCAGTCCTACTTAATTTGCATACAGTTTGGCAAGTTTTAAAATATTAATAGACCGATGTCCTTAGTACTTATTGAATGTATTGTTTAGCTTATAGGTTTTTAAATAACCATGCATTTTCAAGTACATTGTGGCTTAGTTATATTTATTTACCAATTTCTGTCAGGACCGCTATAGTCAAAGATGATTGACAATTAACATATAGTTTAGAATGACGGTATGGTTCTGTTCTGGGCAAGAGAGCAGTGATAACCCCCTAGGGTAAACAGAAGAGAACCAACATAAATGTATTGCAGATACAATTAATATTCAGTAACATTTTAGAAATTCATCTGATTTAAAGGAGAATCATAAGGCTGAACCATGACTGGATGAGAGGAGGAGCTGAGAATGGAGGGGGCAATTAGCTATTGAGCAATGCGAAAGCTGCTGATAATACTGAAGAACCTTATGTATGAATGCTGAGATAGGCGTCGTATTCCTATAGGTAGATGTGGATCAGCTGACGCGAGCTTTTAATTTTGATTAATTGATTATTGCAGAGCCATATATATATACTCTATATATATCGAGGTCGATTGATGTATCGGTTTTGCCTATTAATCGGCACGGATAGTTGATTGCTGGAACTATCGGCTATCGGCAAAAATCCATGCCGATAGTTTTTCCGGTTATGAATGCTGAGATAGGCGTCATATTCCTATAGGTAGATGTGGATCAGCTGACGCGAGCTTTTAATTTTGATTAATTGATTATTGCAGAGCCATATATATATACTCTATATATATCGAGGTCGATTGATGTATCGGTTTTGCCTATTAATCGGCACGGATAGTTGATTGCTGGAACTATCGGCTATCGGCAAAAATCCATGCCGATAGTTTTTCCGGTTATGAATGCTGAGATAGGCGTCATATTCCTATAGGTAGATGTGGATCAGCTGACGCAAGCTTGACTGACATGACCTGGCAGAACTAATGCTACGCTTGATTAATTGATTATTGCAGAGCCATATATATATACCGAGGTCGATCGATGTATCGGTTTTGCCTATTAATCAGCACCGATAGTTGATTGCTGGAACTATCGGCAAAAATCCATGCCGATAGTTTTTCCAGTTTCTGTTTTTTTCCATTGCATCTGTTGCTGGAGTGACTGAAAATGGTCCACTGCCATTATACAGTGCGAGAGCGGCCTCTACAGGTGGAAATCACTGACAGCACATGTTGATTGTTTTGGCACGTGAGGCTACACGCTGCACAGTGCGGGAAACTTCAAACGCTGTTTAAATACAGCTGACAGAAAATCCTGCAGCGGAACAGAGCGCCGTTCACATAGTTTTCCATTAAATTACATTATATTCATCCCAAATTGTTATTAATGTGCATAATAACTTCACCCTAGGCTGTAACATTGTGTATTGTGCATTTTTTCAGCAAAACGTTTGTCTTTCTGTGGCTCTAATAAAGTATGCTTCATTTATTGAGCTATAGACCTATGTACATCACTATTTCTCTTTCTGTTGGCTCTGTTTTTTTAAACACCAAACTGCAAACACATCTATGCTGCATTGTTCATTCTTGAAGTGAACTTTTGTCTATTTGGCGATTTAAATAAACTGTTTTAGACCGCCGCTTGAAGTGAACGCGACGCATTGTGTGTGTGTGTGTGATAACCTGCTACTCGAGTTTGTATTAGACACGACACTGCGCTTTTCCCCGGTGTGTGACCCATATTTTGTTATTTTGATTAGATAATCAAGTGTTCTAAAATAGAAGCAAATAAAGTGTGAGAGTATACATACAATATCCATATGTATGTAATTTGTTCTGAATTTCAGTGCTGTGGCCTTTGTGTAGATAATTAAAGATGGCCATCTTTAAGCATGACTGTTGATATGAAATGGTAACACTTTACAATACGTAACATTGTAACATTAATATTAATGAAAGCTGTATAAGTATTGTTCCTAGTTAGAGTTTGTTAATTTCAACATTTAGGCTAATATTAAATTTTTTAATTGTGTTTCTTCTGTTAACATTAGTTAATAAACTATGAACGTTAATGATCAATTTAATAATTAATATTCATATTTGATTCATTTAAAAATTATGGTTCTTTTTTTAAAAATAGTAAAGCACTATTTTAGTTTCAGTATCCATTTTAAAAACTATAGGTTGATTAATCGGTATCGGCCAGTGTGGACCAACCTAGCTATCGGTAAAATCCACTATCGGTCAACCTCTAATATATATATAGGCATGGGCCGGTATGAGATTTTGATGGTATGATAACCTTAAGCAAAAATATCACGGTATCACGGAATTGTCGTTACAGCTCTAAAATGTGTACAATATATTTAGTTTTTGAGCAACATACAGAATATTAGAAACAGTAGAATGTTTATTTTTCTTTGATTTGTTTCCTAAAAAGAAGAAAAATAAAGACTGACATCTTTATTTAACCTAAATCTGTAATTGCAGTTATTTAATTTTAGTTATATAATTTAATTTACATAATTTGATTTAATAATAACCCAATTTGAAGCAAAAACAGAATGTTCTGACTAGCTTTGTGAAATTATACTACATGCCTAAATGAAGCAAACAGCAGATGCTCTGAATGAGATGCATATTCAGCCTCTGACAGCAGGAGGCGCTTCTGGAACACCGCATACGGCGTTTCCTTGGTTACCACAGTCTATGGCTGAAACACTGCTTTAATTTGAACTATACAGAGACGAGATGAAAAGAAAATACCATCTAAAATTATCCGAACTTCCCATCACTACTGACCGCTCGCTCGCACCAACAGGAGGGTCATGTTACTCTCTACACTGCACTCAACCTGAGGGATTCCTACACTTTCAGACTTTGAGGAGACATGAAAAATAGTGCATACCGCAGGAACGGTATAAAGGAAAATATTAGTGATTTTTGAAATGTGACATTTTTAAATCGCGGTATACCTTGAAACCGGTAATCGGCCCATGCCTAATATATATATATATATATATATATATATATATATATCCCTAATGCATATTTTATTGCAGTTTTTATTGTTGTAGTCTAATGATTATTTAGTTATTTTGCATCAAAATTCAGAAATAAAACAATTATAGTTTTGAATATTGGCTATATTATTTTGAATATTATCAGATGCCTAAACACACACACACACATAAATCAAACGTTTCAACATATGCTTGATAGTTTCCGTTCCCAACTTGCTATGGCTCACTGTCTGCACTGATGGACTAAATAATTCCCTTGGTTCGATAGTGGTTGTTCTGAGTACTAGCCTGTCTTCCACAGCTTAGGCTTAGTAAAGTGTTTGATTGGCCAGGAGAAGACAAACTTAGTCTCAGAGGATGCATTTCTTTCTTGATTGTCAGTGGGGACCTCACTGCAGTGCAGATTAATCAGAGGGATTTAATTAACTTGGCCCTGTGCGCACATTAAACCTGGAGACAAGACAGGCTATAAACTCAACCAATTATCTTTGTGTGTAAGTGTAAGTTTGTGTGTTTTCGACTTAAGGTAATAAGTGCACACCTCTGAGAATATGTAACACCCATGGACATCCTTAACTCTGCTGTGCCATATTTACAATGTTTAACAGATAATATTTCTAGATTTGTATTATAGTGGCGTAAGTCTTAAGCAGGGAATGCAGATATTCACAAACACACAGGCATGCACTACTCACACCTATGGCACAGTTAATGCTGCGTACACCACTGCAGTGGCTGCTGTTTCTCCACCACATCACCATGGCAACCAAGACAATGGTTGCGCAAGCCTGCAAATGTGTTATATTTGAGGCTTTTGGTTCACAATCACTGTATGAGTAATTCACAGCATCAGGCATTTAGCTTTTCTGATGGTCTATATGTCATTAGAAGCAGTCATAGGTTGTTATATTATAGCTCTCTGCTGTGCCCTCTGGATATCTCAGTCCTCAGTATCAGCTCTTTACCGAGTGACCTTCATCTCACCTTGCTCCTTAGCTGGAGCCACACGGACAGCAGCCCACTCTTCCCAGCTCTCTTCTGCACAGAATCGCATGAAGGACAGCAGGCGGCTAGCCTGTTGCACCATTAGCATCTGTGAGCACTAACTGAGTCTATTTCTTGTGTTGACAGAACATGGATAAGACCCAGCTTCCATCTGTGACACTGATCGTGGGCTGCGGGGTCTCGTCCCTCACCCTGCTCCTCCTCATCATCATCTATGTGTCTGTTTGGAGGTAAGCAAGATCTTCAGCACCATGGACAGCGACATGTATTTGTGTAAAAAGCTTTGCAATGTCAATTGTTTGACGTGATGTAATTCTAAACAAGTCAGGTTGTTATTTACTATTCAGCATGGCTATTAGTGAAAGGCTAAACAGCTAGGCCAATTAATGCCGATAATTGTTCTCAATTGGCTCATTCACAAAAGTGGTCATTCTGTCTAGTGTCGGTTCCAATAACTACAAACAGCCTTGTCCATGGTCGGTGCACATTTTTTAATAATTTTGTCATTTTTTTTAAATATTTTTTTTATTTAGAACTTTCATTTAGCTAGAATGTATTGATTAATCAAAAAATGACAGTAAAAACTTTTACTTTGTTAAAAAAAAATTCAGTTTCAAATAAATGCTGTTCTTTTGAACTTTGTTCATCGAAGAATTGTGAAAGAAATGGATCACATTTTCAACAAAATTAAAACTGTTTTCAACATTGTAACATAATGATAAAAAATATATTTTTTGAGCACCAACTAAGCATATCAGAATGATTTCTGAAGGATTATGTGACACTGAAGCCTGGAATAATGGCTGCTAAAAATTGAGCTTTGCAACACAGTAATAGATTACATTTTATATATTTCTTTAATGGAGAGCAGTTATTTTTTAATTGTAATAATGTTACCCAGTATTCCTGTTTTTACTGTTTTTGATCAATTAATGCAACCTTGAGTCTGTATATACAGTACATAGGGATCTTTGCTTATACTTATGATTGCATTGATAAATCCTATTTTTTTTTCATATAAAATATATTTGAAATAATTGAAAGTTTGCAAAAATTTATTTTTCCTTTTTCTTTTCTTTTTTTATTTCACCATGCTATTTCCTCCTTTGCATCTTGTGCTTCAATGATCTGTACAGATGCTTTCACTTGGTCAGTGTCACATCTTGGTCGCCACTAGAAATTATACATCAGTTCAGGTTCCATTTATGTGTCCATCTATTGAAAGAATGGTGGCTGAATGATAGCGAGCAATAGAAGTCATTCAGATGTATTGGCTCAGTGTTTCTGTGTGTTTTTCTTCAGGTACATCCGCTCAGAGCGCTCTGTCATCCTCATCAACTTTTGTCTGTCCATCATCTCCTCCAATGCACTCATACTTATCGGACAAACTCAGACACGGAACAAGGTATGACCAAACAAACACAAATAAATTGATAAAACCCTTGATCTACAACAAAATATTCTTAATCTTCCTCTTTTCTCCTTTTTACATTCCATCCTTACCTTTAATGGATGGACTCTCTTTCTTTCTCTCTTACTATTTTCTTGCTCTTAGGTTGTTTGTACTCTTGTGGCTGCATTTCTGCACTTTTTCTTCCTGTCCTCTTTCTGTTGGGTTCTCACGGAGGCATGGCAGTCTTACATGGCTGTGACTGGCCGTCTTAGAAACCGCATCATACGCAAACGTTTCCTCTGCCTTGGTTGGGGTGAGGCTTGTCTTGTATCTTCTAGGTTTCTTCTGAAAAAAATGACCCAACTGGGTAGTTGATGTATAATTTTACTTGATTTTAGCAGCATTGTGTGGCACTATGTGTTATAGTCTAAAATCTTAGATGAAATGTAACTGAATTTAATCAAAGTACTCAACTACTTTCCAATTATTTCTGTTCCCTTTTTATAGGTTTACCTGCTCTCGTTGTAGCAATTTCTGTTGGATTTACCAAGGCAAAGGGATATGGCACTGTTAACTAGTAAGTATGATCTAGGGATGCAACGATACCATTTTTTCAGAACCGATCCGATACCAAAAATTCTGAGTATCGGCCAATTACAATACGATCCGATACCAGCGCAGTTTTTTTTTTTTTCTTATTCGGCCAATCATAACGCACCGGATAGCTGGCCAATCACAGCACACCTTGCTTTTCAGACCGATGAGCTTTGTAAAAATCGACGCGTTTCAGAAAGGCGGGGCATAGAAAAGAAACAATAATGTACAGTATGTGGAAAATGTGTTTTTTGAACCTTAAACCGCATAAACATATTTCATTACACCAAATACACAAAATAATGTTATTTTTAGCAACATCATATGACCCCTTTAATGAAAAATAACAAATGAAAAAATATATAATCATAATCTATGACAAAAATTACTATTATAAACTAGGGGTGGGACAATATATCGATATGGCGATATGTATCGTTGTCCTTCTCCATGCGATACGAGAATCGATTTATGGCGCCAAATATCGATATTTTACTACAATACAATACTACAATATATTACTACAATAAGGGGCTCTATATAGATTTCCTTACTCCCAGCATCTAAAAAATGCATAGAAATTGTGGCCGTGCCATTTCCACCTTCTTTTCAATGCGCTCTGAGCATCCATAAACCGTGTTCTCTATGAAGATGGGGAAGCACAAGGAACCAAAGGATAAACAGATTTCCAGCCACTGTATTAGCTCTACTGATCATGTATCGTTGTCCTTCTCCATGCGATACGAGAATCGATTTATGGCGCCAAATATCGATATTTTACTACAATATATTACTACAATAAGGGGCTCTATATAGATTTCCTTACTCCCAGCATCTAAAAAATGCATAGAAATTGTGGCCGTGCCATTTCCACCTTCTTTTCAATGCGCTCTGAGCATACATAAACCGTGTTCTCTATGAAGATGGGGAAGCACAAGGAACCAAAGGATAAACAGATTTCCAGCCACTGTATTAGCTCTACTGATATATATATATATATATGTACTGTATATGTTTATGGAGATGAGAACTAAAAAACTGCCCCGGAACAGCTATCAGCGTAGACTGTACTGTAGGCATCGATCACGTTATCATTGCAGAGCGCATATTGAGTCTGTGAGTAGCCTAACCTCTCCGCTCAGATCGCAGGTGGATTTCCCTCACTATGTGAGTGAGAGAGAGCGCCGCCGGTGCGTCCAGTTTTATGTCAACAAAACTAGATGCTCTCCCTCTCTCTCAGATATTACAAGTGCGCGTTATGCAGTGTGGGCAGTGGTCACCGCCCGGCAGAAACATAAATCTGCACCTATGGCATGGATGACGAAACAAAACCTCGTCAGAGCCGTAATGCAGCACAGAAGTATGCAGTGTGTGTGCTTGCTAGGGCTGGGAATCGATTCCAAAAATAATCGATTCCGAGGCATTGGGAATCGAGAGTTGATTCCATCAAGGGGAATCGACTCCTCATTCAGAGCCTTTTTCAGTTCAACAAAGCTTATCTATGGGTGTCTCTCAAATGGAAGGCTGCATCCTACGAAGGCTGCACACATTTAAATTCATGAAAATAAACTGAAAGAAATCGAGTTGGTACTGATCATCTGAATTTTAGGATGCAGCCTTCCGTTTGAGAAGCACCATTCGCCTCCCTCATGCTTGCTAAAAGTGATTAGAAGTCTGATTAGTTTCCTGATTAGGATAGATACTTTTAATGAACCAGTTAAAAATAACGATTCAGGGGTTGATTCCCATCAACTCCAGAACCAGGAATCGGAATCGAACAGCTCTAGTGCTTGTCGCGCGTCTACATTTGAAATAATGAACCTGAGCGCGCAAAAGACGTTATGTGAATGGCTTTTTTCCCCTGCATGTCATGTGTGCGGGGCTCCGTTTTTTATGATGAGAGGAGAGGAAAGCTTGAGAAAGCACTCCAGGTAAATTTTGAAATGTACCAGGTTTATATATAAAATCGAGAGTTGATTCCATCAAGGGGAATCGACTCCTCATTCAGAGCCTTTTTCAGTTCAACAAAGCTTATCTATGGGTGTCTCTCAAATGGAAGGCTGCATCCTACGAAGGCTGCACACATTTAAATTCATGAAAATAAACTGAAAGAAATCGAGTTGGTACTGATCATCTGAATTTTAGGATGCAGCCTTCCGTTTGAGAAGCACCATTCGCCTCCCTCATGCTTGCTAAAAGTGATTAGAAGTCTGATTAGTTTCCTGATTAGGATAGATACTTTTAATGAACCAGTTAAAAATAACGATTCAGGGGTTGATTCCCATCAACTCCAGAACCAGGAATCGGAATCGAACAGCTCTAGTGCTTGTCGCGCGTCTACATTTGAAATAATGAACCTGAGCGCGCAAAAGACGTTATGTGAATGGCTTTTTTCCCCTGCATGTCATGTGTGCGGGGCTCCGTTTTTTATGATGAGAGGAGAGGAAAGCTTGAGAAAGCACTCCAGGTAAATTTTGAAATGTACCAGGTTTATATATAAAGTTGATAAGCAGTTAAATGTGTTGGTTTACACACAAAGAAAAGTGTAAGCTTTTAATAAGTCCAAGAATAAAATGATACATTTCCATAGCATGTTAAATTTGATTTACAGAACTTTTCTGCTGTTTTCTAACATTTTGGACTTGAATAAAGAGAGAAAACTTGCACTTAAACTTTTCACAGGCATTTTGTTTTCATAGTTAGACAGATATCGTGATGTATCATTGTAGAATTGTCTAGCAATATATAGATTATCGCAGAATTGCTGTACCGTGATATTATCGTATCGTGAGCCATGTATCGTGATTTGTATCATATCGTGAGGTACCCTGCGATTCCCACCCCTATTATAAACTAGGTTAGTGGATAATTCAGCAGCAAACGTTATTCTAGAAAAATAATGGTTGCACAATAATTTTATAAAAACATTAAACTAAACTAAACATTTAGTGAAACAACATTATTTAGTGGGGAACAAATAAAAGTTAAGTGTAGGACTAAATCTGGTAAAATGTTACACATCGCTCTTTGTATTGTTGTAAAATACATACATACAAAACAAGAAGCCTAAATATATAAAATACATACTATAAAATTAAAAGACATTTCTTTTTAAATGCATAGCACAGTAACGAAGGCAGCAATATATGATAAAACGGAACAAAAAAGACTATTGATAATCTTTCGTTGCGCAAAAGTATAATATGAAAGGGTATGGCTCCAATACAGAGTGGCACGAAG